TAGAAAAGCTTAAAACAAACAAGATTCCATCAGCTATAATTCATACACTTCGATGGGAATGTCCTACATTTTCGACGAAAGCAGAACTAAACAAGCATTTGGTTGGTGCATGTTTCTACTTTAAGGTTCAGTGTTTGTTTTCGCCAATCATGAGACCAGGTCTTTATAATGTGCATGCAACCAACTGTCATAATAATAATACGTGCCTAAAACTCGAGCTTTCCAGACAGGAATTTCATAAACATTCAGATATAGCGGTAAGATAATAAAAAAAAAATAAAATAAAAAAAATTTATATAAAATTTAAATATAATATGAATTTAGTAATACATATAAAATTATATGTAAAATAATATAGGCATTAGATCCGATTTCACAACGATTACCTTCAACACCAAATATTTTTCCATATCATTGTTCATTATGCGATCATTGTTTTCTAAAATCAGATACTCACATATGTATGCCATCTCCACCAATTCCAGAATATGATATAATATGTCATGGTTGTAAATCAAAACTAGATCAACCGAAAAAAACAAAGTACGAGTTAGAAAATAAATGTCAGGTTTGTTGTAATCAGGATAATAATAATCCAATAGTGATCGGTATGGTTGGAATGGTTAATTTTCCTAATGGAAAGAATCATGGAATAGAAAATCAAAAAATGCAATGGAAGAATGTTAAACGGAACATTATTAAATCTTATGATAAAACTCATGAAACTAAGGCAAGTATTAATAATAATTTAATATGATATTTATTTTAAAAAAATACAGTCATTAGCTTCTTTTTTTTTTTTTTTTGTATGATTTTTTTAATGAAATTACTAAGATAGTTTAGGAAGATAATCTACTGTAATATATATAGTGATAAATTAAAATTAAAATTATGTTTGGCATACAGTATAAGGATATGTTTATGTGGTGGCTAAAGCTAAATTGACTGAAGCTGAAATTTAAATAAAGGTTTAAAAAATTTTTTAAATTTTTTGATTTTTAGTATGACTTCAAATTTCAAATTTCAGCTTAAGCCAATTTCAACTTTGGCCCATATAAGCAATAATAAAACTAATTATTTGAACTAAATGTCGTCATTCTACGTACGTACGTATCATTGTCCGGATGATCAGCCAATCAAAATCGATCACCAGAATTAAGATTATCTGAATTTTTAAACGTAGAATGAAATTTTTCTTTTTTTTACATCTATAGCAATATATAGTAAAATTTGAGTGACTTGGCGGTAGGCAAATTTTTAATTCCGACCCTGCCGATCACGAAATTGGGAATTTTCCTGTAATAGTTGAAAAAAAATATTTTGGAATAACATTGCAGAAACATGCTGAAACTGTTATCGTTATCAGTTGTCTTCAGTTATATACTGTATTATTGTTGTTATATACCGGTATAATACCTGAATTATGATAAAACTTTATCCTTTAACGATAACGTTACCTTTATGAACAGAGTCATTTGGTCTAACGTTTTGTTGAACATTAAATGTTTCATTAATTCATTAATTCATCATTCATTCAATAATTCTCATTAAAATCATTAAAATGCTTTTCAATTAAATGAGGAAACACGTATTCGACTACATTTTATGAATTACCTGATCTTGGTCTCTCTCTTTGAAGTTTTGTACATTTTGGTTGAAAATAAAAATGTTAAGGATTGGCTAC